GCCTTGTGCGCGGATGTAGCTTGCAATGCCGGCGGCGGCTCCGCGGCTCCGGTGCAGCCAGGTGGCAGTACGAGGGAGGGCCCGCTGCAGGTCCTGTCCTTGGAGCCGCCGCGGCGGCGATGACGTTGGCGACGCCGGCGGCCCCGTGGCTGCGACCGCTGCGTCTGCGTTTGCGGTGGTGGTAATGGCGGTGGCAGTGCCGGAGGGACCTTCCAGTCTGAAAATGGCGGCGAATTTGGAGCGAAGGTACGACACTCCTCCGTCCCCGTGCAGACTGGCGGCCAGGGCCTGAGAGGAGCGCCGGGGGTTACGAGCGAGGGGAGCGAGGGGAGCGAGGGGAGCGAGGGGAGCGAGGGGAGAGCAAAACCCCAAGAAGGTGAGGAAGGGGGGAGAGAGGGGAAGGAGAAAGGGATGGTGGTGTATGTAGAGGGCAGGCGGATGTTTGTGTGTGTGTGGGGGGGGGGGAGAAAGGAGCTCGGTCAGCCCAGTCATGCGCGACTTAGCAGTGGGCCCTGCGGGGGAGGGGGTGGGGCGGACCAGCAGAGGGGCAGGCTGGTTTTCATCACCGGCAGCGAAAGAACGAACCTGGAACGCAGTTCCGGCGATCTAAGCCGGGTGCGGCATGTCTGTCGTCTCGCATGACTGCATTCCCGTGGGGCGGCGATGACAGGAAGTGTGAGGTGGCGACAAGAGCGCGTACCTAGCCCCGGTCACCACTAGGCCCATCACGAACCGTTGCAATAAGATAATAGAAAGACGGGAAATCATCAGCCGTTGTAGCTCAGTGGTAGAGCGTTTGTCTTGTAAACAAAAGGTCCCTGGTTCAATCCCAGGCTGCGGCAGCCATACCGGTCATGAAAACTACGTAATTATATCTATAATCTCTTCCCTTGCTTCAAGTGCTCATGAGCATCAAGGACACATCTGTAATTCGTCTGGTTTGGGATTTCTATGCAAACATGTCCCGATTCCTGGCCGGAGCTCGACATTGTTCGGAAGGTCTAGGTCACTAATGTTGCTGAGGTGTGGAGATGAGGTCTAGATTGTTTAACTGAGTATCGCATGCTGAACTGGTGGTGATGGCTGATCTATCTCTACGGATGTCGGGAGACTGGATGAGGCGGGGCCTAGGTAGCAGGAACCAAACCGCCGTCGTTTGTACGGCGTAATCAACTTCCAATACTTCAATACAGGTAGTCCATGGGGCCCCCGGCTTTGACGGACCCCCCCGCACTCGTGCGGCACTTCTAACTTGTAACTTGTAACTATACCGGAAATGCCGGGGGGAGGAACATTACGTTGTGCCGTCGTCGTCGTCGTCGTCGTGCCTAAGAGGGACAGACACCGAGATGCCGACCTCCCCCCCCCTTCTCGACCCCCCCCCCTCGACCCCCCCTCTCGACCCCCCACGGCCCCACCTGCAATCTGCCGTTGGCCGCGTCAACCCGAAGCAGCTTCACTTGGGCAGCCAGCAGACGAACGGCACGACCCAGAGCCGCCGCCAGGGGGGACGGCGGCGGCAGGGCAGCGCCCTCACCTTCACCTTCACCTTCACTGACATCACTGCCGGCCCCAGCGTCTTGTGACGGTTGCTGTTGTTGTTTCTGTGCGAATTCTGTTAAAGCAGCCCCCAGGCGCTGCTGCATGAGTCCCTGGGCGGAAAGCGCCGCTTCCTCCCGCGCAGGCGCCCCCGCCGCAACCAGCAACCCAGCCAGACGCTGTAGCACCCCCAGCGCTCCCTGTACGGCAGCTACTACAGCAGCACCGCCGCCGTCGGCGCCGCTGCTGCCGCCGCCACCGCCGCCGCTACCGGCTGCTGCTCCTGCCGTGATCTTGGATCGTATCACCGACTCGCTGAACTCCGCACGCAACGCGAAAGCCTGCCAGTACGGCACGTACGGTGGGGGAACGGTAAGACGCGTACGGCACCAGAGCACCGTTCACGGCAATGGAGAAGGTGGTCGTTGAGGGTCGTTGTGGGAGGACGTAAATCATGTTGCTCGCTTCCTAACCTCGAAACCCGTATCATCACCCCCCCTCCCTCCGTGCGAATTTCACCGCCGCCGCCCACACGGCGGTGCCCCCCTCCCCTCCCCCCCTCCTCCACACCTGTTGGGGAGGGCTCACGATGGCAGCCACATCGAACGCCACCTCACTCAGAAGCGGAGCAAGCACCCCAGCCAATCGAGCCACGGACGACCCACGGGTCGCCGCCAGTCCTGCTGGCAGAGGCTGTAACGCCAGCGCCAGTGTGGCGATGACGTTGTCCCAGAAGGCACACTCAGCTATGGCAGCGGTCCTGCGAACATGGGGGCCCCGGGCCCCGGGGAATATTGGGTAGAAATGCATGCAAGGTGGTTGGGGGGAAGATGAACCACGAGCGAATAGAGGTGATGCCGAGGAAAGACTGATGCGCCAGAAGTAAAGAAGGTGTGACTAACTAACTAACCAGTCGGCGGTAGTGAAGAAGAAGTCCTCGCGGTGATGTTAGTAGTCATGACGACGATAGCGGGAAACTACCTACCTAGCCGCTAACCCTAAAATAAAAAGAGCGGAAAGAAAGCAGAAAAAACCCTCCGTAATATTGTAGGGGAAGGTGTAAAGCCGGCGAAAGAACAAAAACCTGACGTGGTGTGAGGAAGAGGTGACGTAAGCTGGAAGAAAGTGGTTCGCCGGCCTGGCGGCGGAATTGAGGAACCTGGACAAAACTGGCTGATAAGCTGGTAATGAGCTGTGCTGGTGACATGCAAGTGCTCCTCCCGACCCCCCAATACGCGCCCGACCGACCGGACCGACCCAACTATCCTAGTCCCAACTAACAGACCGACGCAACGCGATTCACCGGGGGGTGGGGGGAAGGGGGACCCCACCGCAATATGGTCGGGTCAAGCCTCGAGTCGTGAGGCGGTGTCCTATGTCTTCTTTTTCACCTCTCGTCCCTCTGCCCCCATCCCTCGGCCTGTCCCCTTCCCTCTGCAGCCGACAGTCCTCTTTCCCACTTTCCCCGCACATTTCCTTCCCTCCCCCGCCCTCCACTCCCCTCTTACCCTTTCCAAACACACACATAGACAGACACACACCTGCTCCTCAGTGTACGAATCAGTTGCTCTTGGCTCATGTGCTGCAGTTCCCCAGGCTCCAGGGGGGCCTCGGAGTGTAGCACTGCCAGGCCACCCGCGTCCTGACGGGAATGAGGAGGGGGGGAGGGAGGCGGGGAAAGGGGGGAAAGGAGGAGGAGGGGAGGAGGGTGGCCGCGACACACACGGAGGGTGGGTGGACGGGGGGTGAGTGGTGTCTATGCAACAATGTCGATGTGTGTGTATTGGCGTCTGAATGTATTGGCGTATGTATAGGTGGGTGGGAGGTTGGGCTGCAAAGAAATCGGCGAGATGGGTCTACCGGAGGCCGTTGTTAGGCGGGGGGGGGGACATGGGGGGGGGAGAGAGAGGGGAGGGAGATCAGTTGGNACACACACACACACACACACACACACACACCACAAAGCTAACCCTCTCTACATCCCCCTTTTTCCCCCTTCCTCATCCCCTCCCTACACCGCCCTCACCAGCGACACGGCCGCCACTGCCCGGTTCCATGAGGCCTCAGCCTCCGCGGTCGGCAGTCTGGGGGGGGTGGGGTGGAGTGGGGGAATTTACACCACACGGCACAAGGCGGATAGATGGATTAGGAACGAGGGGCGGTGGGGAAATACCCGCATGCTAGGGTCCGTTAAACTAGTGAAAGGGGCTCTGGACGGGTGGAGGAGGGGGGAGGTGGTGATCAAGGGTGACGGAGGCGAGCAGTGGGGTCGAGCCATACGATGTAACAAAAACAAGAGGAGGAAAAAACAGGAAAGAAAAAATACTACATAGGAATGCTTCGCATTTTGTTTTCTCTCTCTCTCTCTCTCTCTCTCTCTTTCTCTTTCCCTTTCTCTCTCTCTCTCTCTCTCTCTCTCTCTCTCTCTTTTTTACATGTGAATATACTTGTCTTTGCACGTGTGTCCTTTGCATATTCATTGTGCATGGACCGGCCGGGGCACGAGTGCCGTATACCTGTACGAACCCGTACTTCCGGCCAGCAGCATCTCGTGCACCAGAGCCGCGTTGCTGATGAGTGCCGTGTCCAGGGGGGTTACGGCGTGTACGGCACTGCCTTCGGCGGCCCCCTCAGGCCCCAACAGAGTGGACCGCAGCGAGCCGGGGGACCTGGAACTCGCGAGGTGGGGAAGGGGGTCAAACACACACACACCGTGTGTGGGTGTATGTACGTATGTATGTATGCATGTGCGGGGGCGGTTGGGGATACGACCAAACGTCAAAGAAACAACTGAAGGTGTTTACATGCGCACGTCCAAGAGGAGGGGGGAGCTACTACGTGCTGCCGCTCCAAGCCAGGTCGGTCGGCCCCGGAAGGGACTGCAGCAGTGGTGCCCCCACTACTCCCCCCCCCTCGTCCAACGTTGAGCTGCAACGTGCGGACCGAGTGCGAAGGGGGATGATGGATGACGGGGCTGACGCGACAGCTCCTCCGCTGTGAATGAACCTTACCCCCACCCCCACCCCCCACCCCACACACATCATAACCCTCCCGCCCCTCCCCAGCTCAGTTCAGTTCAGTCAGTCGCAACCCTCTTCCTGCCAACCCTCACTTGGGACTGGCGGACAGAGGCGAGGGCGCCACAGCAGCACCACCACCACCTCCTCCGCCTCCTCCGCCTCTGTCGCTGTTGGCAACGGTGCTGTTCCCGCCTCCTGCACCCCCAACCCCGCTCCCACTCGCTCCTCCCCCATCCCCAAAATGCGGGGTGGTGTCCGTATCCACATAGCCCGGCCAGTTGAGCTCGCCCCGGGGGCGGAGGGGGCGGGGCGGGGCGGGAATGGGCGCACTGGCGGCGGCGGGGACCACGGCGGCGGCGGGCGACGGCGCCGCCACTGGCGGCGTGTCCAGAGATAGCGGCGCCGGCGTGGCCTGGCGGGACAGCGTCGGTGAGGTGCTGGCAGCGGCGGCGGTCGGGCTGTAGGGCCCTCGGCGGATTGTCGTACTGGCGGGACTTCGGCGGGGGCTGTACCTGCAGCCACATGA